GAATTAAACAGACATGACTGATTCAGACTGCAAAATATTCAAGACACAGCATGAATGCTCTTTCAGAATGGTCTGAAACTTTTGAATACAGAGATTCTTGCCACTAGCAAGATCCTTGCATAATGAAAATGATGACTGTACTAACATTGAATGTTATGTATATAATTGCTTCCACGCATTCTAATACTGATTACCAATTAGTTCTTGATACTGTTACATTGTTGCTTTGATAGTGTTAGTAATGCTTCTGGTAGATTTATAATAAATGTGTCTGAGTGGAATACACTACCCAGCAACCAAACTACCAATCACTACAATGGAATCACCCCAACTTCTTTTTGACTTTACTCTATAAGTGATTTCCATATATTCTTCATTTATTTAGATGAATTTCAGTTTATCTCACTGTTCTTATTTGGCTGTTTTTAGCCATTTATCTTGCCAGTAAAGCTGTCATTCAACTCCAGTTAAAATAAATATTTTCGTTTTTAGGTCTCTATAAATCAACAACAAATGACAATATAGTGCATCTGCAAAATAATGGCAAATGGGAAATTATATGTTACTACAGAACTCATATTATGAAAGAGCAATACAGTACACTCCCGATTATCCGCAGAATTGGGTGGTGCGGCTGCCGCGGATAACAAAAATCGCGGATAATCCAAAAAAAGCAGCAAAAGAGAAACAGTCATTCCAAATTTGAAAAATCGTTTTATGTATAATTAAACGTAAAATAAACAGCAGGAAATGTTTAACTAACGCTTAATATTTTAGTATATCACTCAAAACTAACCTAAAATGCATTTTGTTAATGAAAACAGAAAAGTGCTTTGCACTTACGAGAGGCGTCAAGGATACACAGAAAAATTAAAACATATGTACTGTTTTAATACTGAAATGTATTATGTAATTACAAAAGCATAGCTGTAAAACTACACCTTTTAGAAAAAATCAGTCATTTGTGTTTGCTTCTTACTTTGGAAGCATTTTCTCTCGATCCGAGATTGCATTTTTCGTAGCATAAGTTTCTCGGCCAACTCAGAGTCTTCTTGTTCTTCCATATAGATCAACAGTCCGTCGACTTGTTGCAAAGCCGCTTCGTAAGTCTTCCGCATCTGCACAGTGGGCTCTTCTTCCCATTCACTTCGCTCTCCTTCATTCTCGATCTCTCCCCTTGCTTTCTTCACAATTTTGTCATCTGTCAAGCGTTCGAAGCCAGGTTCGTTGACGTCACACTCCAACCACTCAATGTTTTCAGCATCGATGTTCTCACCACCCGGAACTGTTTTCACTATATCGGCAAGAGTTGCAATGGGCGTGTCTACATATTCTCTTCACAACTCATAGGTGTTAGGTTGTTGTTGGCTTGAGTAGGCATGAGTTTAGTAAAACATTAGGCATGAGTTTTCTCCATGATTTTATGAGGGTTGACGGTTTCACCGAGTCCCACGCAGATGCAATATCGTAGATGCTGTCCAAGATTGTGTAGTGTTTCCAAAACTTTTTCAGATCATAACCTTCTTCAATTTTGGTCATTAGCAGCTTGGTTCGACATGTTCTCTTCATTGTTGCAATGACTCCTTGGTCCATGTGGTGGATTAGTGCAGTAACGTTTTGGGGGAGAAACTTTGCAAATATTTGTCCATCAGAAGACTTTAGCACGCTTGTTGCTGGGTGAGAAGATGCATTGTCAATCAATAGCACAGCTTTTCCAGGCAGGTTTTTCGATTTAAGATATTTAAGCACTTGAAGAACAGAGATTTTTTCGAACCATCTTGAAAGATGATTCGGTTCATCCATCCTTTTATTTTTGGGTTAAAGTAATCAACGAGCAAATTTTCTATCCTTGTGCCTTTGAAAGATTTTTTTGTTTTTTTACTTCCCAATAACAACAATTCTAAGTTTATGTCCACCAGTAGCGTTACTGCAAGACATGGTAGTGATCCTTTCCTTGCTTTGGATCCTTTCCTTGTTTTTCTTACTTTGGAAGCATTTTCTCTTGATCCGAGATTGCATTTTTTGTAGCATAAGTTTCTCGGCCAACTCCGAGTCGTCTAGTTCTTCCAAATAGCTCAGCAGTCCGTCGACTTGTTGCAAAGCCAAAGTGCGAGTGGGAAGACATTTCCACAAAATTCCCGATTCGTTGGCATTGTAAAATTTGTTCAAAAGATAGCTCTTTTTTTTAAAAACAAATTGTTCAAATTTATGGTGGAAATCGTCAGCTGCTTGTTGGTCACCACTAAGTTTCTTTCCATGAAGTCCAATTTCTTCAATTCCATGTTGCTGCTTAAAACGAGTCAACTAGCCAGAAGACGCATCAAATTTCCTTTCAGGCCTAACAACTCAAAAAAGGTTTTTGCCTTCGCCGCAATGATAGGACCATTTACAGGAGTACCCTCTTTTCGAACTTAAGCTAACCACTCTGTCAATGGCATGTCTAGCTCATCAAAGGTAGAACCCTTCATAGTTTTTCGTGTTTTCATTGGGGAAGCACTGTCCGACATTGATGCAAAGTTCACCAGTTTGTCTTTTTGCTTTAGAATGTCACGCATTGTTGTTTCCGCGATTTCGTAATCCAATTCCATCTGCTGCCTTGTAGCGCCGTTTGCTACTTTGAAAATTAATTCTAGTTTTTGAGCTATCGTCAACACAACCTTCTTTCGTTTTCCTGCCATTTTAAATCGGTAAGGAAAAACACAAAACCAAAAAGCACAAGCACTGAACACAATAAAAAATAAGAAATTAACTGAGACTGGTTCGCAAACACCATCAGGCTTAAACTAACAATGGCGAGTGGGAGGAAGTGGACGTGTCAAAAAGATTAAAACGAGAGAGCACAGTGGAGGGGGCACTGCAAAGGTGAGTAAGAAATCACTTACTCATCAGAGGGGAAGGTTCCGATAAGGCCACGGGGAAGGTTCCGAGAAGGCCGAGGGGAAGGAGAAGGCCTGGGATATTTTTGCCATAAATAAGCATGATGTTTAGCAAATTTAACATTTCACTCAGTTTTGTGAACATTTTTATTTTCTTTGCTTTATGCTTGAAAAAAAAAAAAAAAAAAAAAAAAAACTTTTAAAACACGGATAATCCGCTCCGCTCATAATCCGCCCAAGGATAATCGGGAGTTTACCGTACTGTAAAACGCAAACAGTAAGAATAACAGCAGGAAATTGATTTGAAGGAAGACCTGTCAACTTATGCCTAAAGCTAGATATGGCAGTTAAAACTTTGATAAACTAAAACAATTATTTTTTAAGAAACCTGTATTATCAGATTATATGGAGAACTGAAGTCTCAAATGCTCAAACTGAACACTAAAGTTTCCGTATTTAAATCAAAGCCAAAGTTATCTTAGAAATGACGTTCTCAGGAATGATTATACCCAAGTAACTAGTCAATATAATTTACAGGGGGGAAAATCATTAGTTTTGTTAAATTTATAATTTTATAAGTTTGCCAACTTTGGTGTTAACAGTGGTAGCAGTTTTAATAAGCAAATACCTAAATTTATTATCTAAAATCAGCAGTTCACACTAATTTTTTAAAAAATCTGATGTGTACGCACACGACGTCCTTGTACGGAATATTAAATTATACGCATTTTTTCTTGCATTTCATTTTAATTTATTGGACTGAATTAAATTTACTTCGTGCATAGCACATAAACCACAATAGAATAAATGCACTCTTTAAAATTTTCTAGATTTATTTACCATAGTGACATTCTAGCCCTAGGTTCACTTAACAGCGTCACATTTCATTTTTTAAATTTAATTCATTTTTTTAATTCAGCTTGCACAACATTTATATAAAAAAATTATCTAATTGTTCCCACATGTTTTATTTAAATACTATAATAAATCTAAAACGACGTACAAAAGAAATTAAGCAAAGAACAACAAAAAAAAAAAAGTTTTTTTACAGATGATTCAGTATTTCTCATTTAATTAATTCAATTTTCACTTCACGACAAGGCAAAAGTACTCAAAATATCTGTATTGAAAATTATGAAGTAAATCTTAAACACTTATTTCCTGGAATAAATTCCAGAATGGATTAAGCATGATTTAACTTTCAATAATAAACGAAGGTGTTATTTTTGTTATTGTGAAGCTTACTTTCTCTAGATTGGCAACAAATCTACTATTCTGCTATTTCAAATGTAAAAAACATGGCCACCATAACAAAAATAATTAGGCTTAGCACACTTAAACAACTTTTAAATTATTGATAATTCTAAAACTATTGCATGCAGATCCACTAAAGGCATCAAACCTTAACCAGAAGATAACAACAACATAATTCAATCATTTCTGAAGCAAAAAATGCACAATTTACAATAATATAAGAATAAAAAAACCTAGATTACTGAGCCAGTGTGGATATATACATATATTTATATAACTTTGGAGCAGCCAATTGCAACCAAAATACGAGGTGCATATCTACATGTTATAGCAAACCTATACACAAAATTTCAACATTCTGAGTCTACTCATTTTTGAGTTATGCGAGATACGCAAGTACGCACAGACCCTACGAAAAGTGCTCTTCAGAATTCATTTTAAATCAGTTTTATAATTTTTTGGAAGAAAAGAGTCCTTTATTCTCTCCTTACATACAGATGACATGGAAAAACATTATTAAATTGCATTCAATAGCGGTCAAAATGGATATTTTCGTTGAAATATGATACCTGAAATTTTTTGTGATTATAATACTTCCTTTTTACTTCATACAGTAAAAAAGGCATTCCAGCATTTTGATGACACTCTAAAAATGCCAAAAAAAACATGAAAATACTTACAGACAGGACGATATGAAAGGGAGGAACGGTGCTAGATTACACATTAACTACATCAGAAATTTCAATAATTAGATTCCACAACAGGGATATTATATGAACTTTAAGAACATATTATCATTTACAAATTTAAATATAAGTTTAAAACAATTCTAACACATCAGTTTAAATTTTGAGTTTGTAAACTGCATACCAGGTAAGGGCTCATGATTATCTCTATTCCGGATCTGAACCATAAATGGATGAAGTCCATAACATCTTCCCTTGGTATAAAGCTGAGCTTGAACAATAGCAAAATTTGCTGTCTTCCCCACTAAAAGTTAGATGAAAGTTCTTTTATTAAATTTTACAAATACAACATTAATATACTAACTAAAAATTATAATATAATCTGATTACAACATATATATATATACAGTACAAAAGTCTTTAATCTGGACTCGTCGGGACTTCGGCGATTCCGGATTAGGGGTTTTTCGGGATTATAGATCATCAATTTAAATCTGGTAAGATGGCATGCAGAAATTATAAAATTAAAAATATGAAACCATAATTTATGAAATAAAGAGCAATTATGATCTAAAGGGCATCAAAATTTACAAAAAAAAAAAGCTTAATATTTATTTGTTTACTTTATTAAACATTTCTTTCAATGTAAGTTGTTTAAGTTGCTTTGTTTTATGTGCTAACACTTTCTCTTTAATTCTATAAATAGACATAATTTCTTGTTCAGTTACAAAGTTCAGCTGTTTAAGTCCTGTAATTGGTGTGCCGAGAATACCGACTAACTTGTCAATCAAAATTTTTTCGTTTTCACTAACCTCTCTGTCACTTTCTTCATGCATTTATCCATATTTTGCAGCAATTCCACTTTTTGTTTGATGGACATCGAAACATGCTTTCACTTTGTAGATCCTTTGGCAGCTCCAGAATCGGAAACTCTTTTTGACATAATCGAAAGTTCAAGCTTACTTTTTATAAAATTGCTCTAACAGTCTGCAAAAAATAATAAGCCGGATCCAATTAGAAGATTAAGGAACAATGCAATCTGCAAAATTAACTGAAATAGATAATTTTAGCCTACCTTATACCGTCCATTATATATGAAATGCACATGTGTAAACGTATTATTCTACGCATGCACAGAAAGTTTGTAGCTTTGAGGTCGGGATTATAGATCATTCTGGATTATGGACGTCCAGATTAAAGACTTTGTACTGTATAATAAATTAGACCTTCAACAATCCTAATCATAATTAGATTTTTAAAAAAATTATTAATCTACAGTAGTTAACAAAAAAATGAAATACATTATAATAATTAATGCATAATACTTTTATAAGAATGCTAATAAATTCTAAATATCATTAAATGCATAAATTTTCCAACAAAACATATAATTTAGATTGTTGGTTTATTTAGCTACAGAAAATATACTGGAGCTATCCTCCTACGAGAAAAGATGCCTTTATGGAGTACTTTTAAAGAAAAATTGGTGTACATTTATGTTACACATGAAGAAAACCACAAAAACCTCATGCAGCCAGTACATTTCATTGCTAGTACATAACTGAAGATGAACTATCAGTATTTTCTATCTTTAATGTCTTGAACCACTGGGCATCACACAAATGTATGTATATAGAACATTGCAGTACAGCAAGTTAAAAAATGGACAGCTGTATATTTCCTGTTCTAGTTAGCTGACTAATAAAATTTAACATATGTTTTTCATATCTTGACAGCGCTACTCAATACGTATACTAAATTAACAGATACCACTGCTTTAATATGCAATTAAAAAATAAATTTTATTTGAAACGTCATCAATCTAATTTACCTCAACATTTCAATTCCTTAAATTATCCTAATCTACAACTTTTTGTAAAAATTGTATGAGCAACTTTCTTTAAATCAGCATTCAAAATTTTAACTTGACAATGATAATTGAATTTGATTTTTATTAATAATACTAATCCATTTTTAACTAAATTCCCTTGCTTTCTCTTTACATAATTCCAAATTCTAACTTAATCCAACTAAAAGAAATGCATTTTTCTGATTTATTTTAAAAACACTGTTATCTTTATATAATTTTGGTATTTATCTATTATCCCATTAACTGCGAAAACTGTCACCAAGCAGCACAATTTAACCCCAATTACAGATAATCGTTAAGTAAAACACACAGATAATATCAGTTCTTTCATTTGATGTTACTCCAATTGATTCTCAAAAAGCCACGTTTTGCTTTTATGAAAAAGGATATAAATTAACTGTTGTGTATTTTTTCCTTGTATTTTGAAATCACACACACAAAAAAATAAATAAATAAATAAATAAAATAACAAAAAAGATTAAAATTTGAAGAGATCTGATTTACAGAACAGTAAATACAAATTTCGCTTAATTTTTTTTTTTTTTTTTTTTTTTTTTTCTCTCCTTATTATCCCATGGTGCAAACAGCAAAGTTTTGATATTTTTGATTTGTTTGTTAAACAAAGATACAGGAGAAAAATTTATTCCAACATTAAATTTTAAATCAATCAACCAAAAAAATAAATAAATAAAATGCTTCACCACACTGTACTGCCATCCATAAAAAGTGTGAGCAAAAAATTTTAACTCTATTAGCTTATCAGGAAATTGCTTAAAATTTTATGATATACTACTAAATAAAAGCTTGTAATGAAAAACTCAGGGTTAACATGTATTAAAACATCAAGTAATTTTTTGGGGAGAGGCTAATTTGAAAATTAGCATCAAATTTTAAATATGAAAAATCCCTGAAATGGCTTATATGATTTTTACAAAACTTGGTACACATAATTTGAAGCATAAGATTGAATTATGCAAGAAAAAAAAAATCACCATATCATTTCAGAATATGTATCAAACGCATATGCCAGAGGTTCTCAACCAGTGGTACGCAAAGAAGCAAAGTATTTTTATATATTAAATTCAAAAATTAAAACCCCAACATCCTAATTGAGTTTTTTCTCCAACATTTGTAAATTTATGCGATCTGAGCTTTGTTCAAGAGTGGTGGTGGTAGTAGTACTACTTTGTAGTGGTGGTACTAATTGGCAACAAATCTACTATTCTGCTATTTCAAATGTAAAAAACATGGCCACCATAACAAAAATAATTAGGCTTAGCACACTTAAACAACTTTTAAATTATTGATAATTCTAAAACTATTGCATGCAGATCCACTAAAGGCATCAAACCTTAACCAGAAGATAAGAACAACATAATTCAATCATTTCTGAAGCAAAAAATGCACAATTTACAATAATATAAGAATAAAAAAACTTAGATTACTGAGCCAGTGTGGATATATATATTTATATAGCTTTGGTGCAGCCAATTGCAACCAAAATACGAGGTGCATATCTACATGTTATAGCAAACCTATACACAAAATCCTAATTGAGTTTTTTCTCCAACATTTGTAAATTTATGCGATCTGAGCTTTGTTCAAGAGTGGTGGTGGTGGTAGTACTACTTTGTAGTGGTGGTACTAAAGGTTTTCAATTTTTGTTCAGATGGTTAGTCAAAAGGATGAGAACCGCTGGCATATGCTATATACTGAAGCAATGTTACATATAATCTAATATATATCCTAAATCAAGCTTTCAAGGCATGGAAAAGTACAATTTAGAGTCTATCAATCGGTAAATAGAACAAGAGATACAGAATTAAACCATCCTTTTTTTTTTTTTTTTTTTAAACTCACTGTACAATTATACACTACACTGATACTCATGTAATATTTTCACATATGCTACCTAATACCAAAAGTAATTTTCTACTAAAAATATCATACTTTCAAAAAAACGTATGATACATTTTCTGTTTCATTGTGAATTTTTTATGCTTGAACTGAAAAACAAGATGAAAACTGATACAAGCCATCAATAAAAAAGTGATATCAGCAGTTAAAATATTCTAGGATAACACTTGTTGTTCCAACATAAGTAGGATATTTTTGCAGACAGCCCATATGTTTTGTCACCTAATACTAAACTGCATTTCAGCTCCAGCTGACAAAACCAGATGGGTTAAAATTCCCACTGTCGCTTGTTGTTGACAAAGCAGATGTAGGTCACAAAGCAGATCACCCGTGAAAGCTCCTAATCTTATTATGTTTAAACATACAGCATGTCAACTTAAAACATTTTATCTTGTTTTTAACTTCATTTTAATCATACCTGCTAGTTAATTCTTGAACTTAAGATTAGCATACAGTGAAGCTGATGAACTTACAAATAATTTGATCATTCATTGTTTTAACTGGCTTATGTAATACAGCATACATATGCTGGCTTGTTTTGTCTCAGATTAAGTGGATAATTTTAATACAAACTCTCTTCTCCAAAAACAATGACATAGAAGCTAAATGCAATAAATGTGACTTATATTTTTCTCCCCTTACCTCCTGAAAATTAATTAAAAAAAAAAAAAAAAAAAGAGCAAGATACAAAACAAAAATGCAAGAAAATTAAAATTTACTGTTATAACTTTACTGCCTTTAAAGAGGTGAAACTATAATTAAAAACCAAATTAAGATTTTAAACAGCATTATTTTTGGGCAAAAGAGAAGTTTATTTATGACACATACAGAAATGAAAATGTAGAATTTAATATTAAAAAAAAAAGTTTGTTGTTGTTAATCTGGTACTATAAAAACAACAGAATTTTATAGACTATTGCTATTCAACTTTAAAGTGCTTATTTTAAACTACAGTACTTTAAAGATTAATCAAAGAATGGCATAAATGAACTCCCTTTAACATAACAAATTCATCTAAGCCATTTTTATTTACAATTTTAGATTTTAGGTAGTTAACAAATTCATCCAAGCCATTTTTTTCTTTATTTACAATCTTTTTTTCCACTTATTCCACTTTTTAAACACTTTTTGTCTGCATTTTAAGGAAACAAAATAACTCTCTTTTAATTATCCTCATATTAAAAAGATACCGAAATGTACTCTGTAGTTTCTCAAAATAAACTATAGTTTACTCATTTTTAAAACAATCAATTGGGAATTTGAATATTCATTAAATCTAACATCAGCACCACATTATCAAAGGTAATGATTATTCTATTTTACCAAAAAGACATTACAAGTGCTAATTATTCTGTATCATGCATACTCTAATCATTATTTTATATTATTTGTCAAACAAGTCTCAGAATAGTTTATACAATAACTAGCCGCTACATGACCAGCTTTCATCTGGATTTTAAATTCACCAGAAAAATGCCTAAAGGGAACACCAAACATTAAATTTAAAAACAGCACAGAATTTTACTCTGCAGAACAACTTTATCAAAAAAATGTATTATATAAAAAAAAAATACAATGGAATATGCAATATCCCTTAATTAATTAGCCTAATAAATAAATTAACCATCTTCCCCTTTGCAAAATCTTAAGAATTCAAATGCTAAAAAATTAAGAATAGTGTTTGTTCACTAATAACTCAGTCACTACTATAGCTATCATCACCAAATTTTCTACAATTATTTTCTGGGCCCTGGAAAAAGTCGACATCCGCTTCTTTCCAAAAAAAAAAAAAAATAGCTAAAATCAGAGATATTAATTAAAAACTCTTAAAACGCTAATTTTTGCCCTCATTTTTCTGAGTGGCAACAGTGCTGTTATCAGCAACAATGGCGTTGCTGATATAATGAGAGAGAATTATCAATTTGATGCAATTTCATCAAAAAACATAAAATTAAAAAAATCTCAATCGAATTTTGAAAAAAAAATCATTTCGAGGTGCAATAGCTCGTCTAGATGCACCTATGTACCAAATTTCATAGCCCTGGGTCTATTAGCTTACATGCAGCAGGAACGAGGCACAGACAGACAGACACACTCTTCCTTTTATTATATGTAGAGACATCGAGTTTTAACAAAAGTTTCCCACTTCTGCAAATATTATCGTCTGCGCAAACAATTTGCATTGCCATATTTAATCATATTTTGTCAGAAGATTTTTGGCATTTGAAAGAAAGGGAATTCCTTTAAAACACTGTGTTGTGAAATTTATAAAAAAATATCATTACCATTATGTACAAAGTGTCTGAAATGGAACTATCATGATACCAGATTAGAACCACTATTTACTTATACTGCTGTTGCAAAATGTCAGCTACAGAATGTCACCAAATCATGTGTATAGCTTTAGGTACTAATGTTGTACCATACGATACTGTGAAGGATAGATACCTAAAGTTCAAAAACAAGGATTATGGAATTAAATAAGCAGAGCGCTATGGCCAGCCTACTGATATTGATGAGGTCCATCAGCAAGAACTTGCGAAAGAAAACCAGTATACAACCATTAGGGGGTTTGACGTTAGCACCATGTCCATTAAGCGCAATATGCATCCCATAAGCTTGACGTACAAGTTCAACCGCTGGATGCTGCATGAGCTGACTCAAGCAAATAAGGACAGACATGTTTGGGCCTGCACTAATCTGCTCGAATACCAATGCAAGGACAAAATTATGGACTGGACCGTCACTTGTGATGAAAAGTGGATTTACTTCAACAACACAGGCCAAAAGAGAGGTTGGTCTGTGCTTGGTGAGCCCGTCGACAGCGTCACAAAGTGCAATTTGACTAAAAAAAAGATTATGCTTTGTATCTGGTGAGATTGCCAAGATATTATCTACAAAGAGTATCTGGAAAAAAGACAAAACCCTTGACAATAAGGACAGCGAGATGTTCACCTGTGCTGACATGGCTACAAATGTCGAACTGAGTTCCAGTGCAAAATGTTAATGTTCTATCAAAATAATGCAAGACCATATATGTCTGCATTCACTGGCTGGACTCTGTACGGACTCGAATGGAATCTTTTGCCACACCCACAATATAGCCTCAACATCACTCCTTTGGACATCCTTTTTTTCACAGCTGCAGCTACATCTTGTTAGTGCTATCCCGTGCAGAAGCAGAGGACATCCGAAATGAAGCTAATCTGTTTTTGGACTTGCGGCCACCAAGTTTCTGGGCCAAAGGCTTTGAAAAATCTACCAAAAGAGATGCAGAAAATCATAGATTTGGGTGATGATTTCTACCTGCACTAAAGGTACTACTTTCATGCTTTTTTATTGCTGTGGTATTATTCACAAAGAGAAGAAAGGTAAAGCCCTCGACAGTAAGGTGCACAGTAGGATGCAAATCCATGTTGATGTGGCTTCAAGGAAAAACGAACCGAGTTGCAGTGCAAAAAGGTAATATTTCATCATCATAATGCAAGACCACATGTAACTGCATTCATCGACTGGACTCTGTATGCAGATGGGATATTTTGCCACACCTAACCGCTTCTTCGGACTTCTACCTTTCTTCATACCTGCAGTTACATCTTGCTGGTGCTATCTTCCATTCTGCACAGAACATCCAAAATGAGGCTGATCAGTTTTTGGATTTGCACACACTAAGTTTCTGAGCTAAAAGCTTTTAAAAAACTACCAAAACGTTGGCAGAAAATCTAAGATTTGGGTGGTGATTACTAATCACACTAAAGGTACTGCTTTCATTTTTTTTTTTTTCCCCATCTTTATTAAGACTGTTTTTTAGCAGAAATCTTTCGTTACAACCAGATCAATTTTCAGAAATGATGAACAGCATGAGATTTTCAAAACTCTTCTACATGAGAAAAGTTTCTAAATAAAAAAATCATGATACTTACAGCCTCCTGGCCACCATTTTATCGAAGATAAAGTAGGTGAATGAAGGACAAATTCCTGAGTTTCAGGATCATATGTTGCAGTTGTTTCAAGTCCACGAAGGAATGTACCTGCAACAGAAAACTTCACACATGTGGCATGAAAAGCATTTTTTATATTCAATGGTAAGAACTGAAATGAATATCAACATTAAATTTCGGACAAGATTATTTTGATTATACTAAAGCACACCATACTAATCTATCTAAAAACAATAATTTCATAAAGGACATTATAGATAAGGTAATGAATGAAGACAGCTTGTGTTTATGTTACATGTGAAAATCACGCAGTCAGCCCTCCTTCTAAATAGCAGGAATGAAACAACTAGCATCTTGCTAATTTTAATCTATTACAGAGAGAAGGAAGGACAATTCAGACTATATCAAGAATTTTATTTTGTAAAATCCTTGTTATACATGATATGGTCTTTCTATCAAAAATTTGAGATGTTTTTTTATTAGTTGGTACTTGCTGATTTACAGTCAGAAAAAGCCACCCAAATCTAATTCCCAATAACATTCAACAATCCTAGAAGCTGTTCAGTATTCTTCTAAAAATACTAGTTTTCCCCCCTTTTCATGTTAATGCTCTGGTCCTCCCCTCCCTTTTCTTTTGGTTAAGAAGTGTGATAATGGCATTTTTTATTATTATTACTTCATCTTTTGCAACTTCTGACCAATCAGAGTAAGTGCACATTTGCATGGATTATTTTTGGGGGGGGGGAAGTAATCCTCAGCCCATGGAAAATTCTCAGGACTGTTTGTTCATCTTAATTTTAAAAAACTAAACTCAGTGGCATAACAGCCCTAGTGGGCTGATGCCTGCAGGGCCCCGAAATCTGCTTCTTGACCGTGGGCACTGGGTTGCATAAGCATATACTCTGAACAAGTGGTCAGCTTGTCGAAGGACCCCCAGTATTTAGTCCCCAAGCGATCTTCATACTCATTTTATCGACCCAGAGGATGGAAATCAAGAGATGAAAGGCTGAGTCAACATTACCCAGCCTGGGGATTGAACCCCGGACTTGTAGTGCTGCTGAGCGATGAGCCAGCCACTGTGGCACCGGGCCTACTCATCTTAAATTAATATTAGTTTATTTTTACTGCATTATTCCATCAGGAATTTACTGGAACTGCCAATATATGAAGCAGAAGTAATCTATAATTTCCAGGTATATAGTATTTTTGCCGAAAACCACAAGTATTCCAGTTCTTGCAAAATGAAACAGCTGGAAGATATACAATGCAAATGCAATACCAACAGTAACTAGCAAAGTATTACAATAAGAATTGGTATGACAGAAGTAATTTATTCTAGAGAATTCTTAAGAAAGAATTCTGATTTAGCACAGAATATTCAGATCTTAGTTAACCAAAAAAAAACTGTTTAAGAAATTGTTGCCGGTTGATATGGGTATAATTGCATCTTTTTTAATATAACATCACATAAACTTTCAATGCAAAACGTTTTAATATGATGGAATCTGGGCATTATACTGACAAGCTACAGAGCTTATTTGAAAAAGCTGAAATATTGTTGGCTGATCAGAAATGTTTTTGTTAACTGCAATTTATGCTTTCAAGATTAGAATGATATGATGAATTAGAACCTGACAAGTTGGCCCCATAGCACAATTCTGCTCAAAAGGCAGAAATTTTATGGACTATGCACAATATGATTACCAGGTTGAAATTCAAAGGTCTCAGATTACTAAAATTTATAATGAACAGAGAGCATGTATGACATCATCTGGTTAGAAAATGAAGATAAAATTGGCAAAACAGACATGAAAATCATTTTTGGTGAAACAAATAATTATACATTCTATGACACATATTTGATAATGTTTGACTCTTGCTATTATCTTTACTATTTAGCTAGTGTTACTAAGACAAGGGCCAGCAATACTTCAAAATGTGAAATGAAATAGAGAATACAATAAATTTTTAAGCAATTCTTTTAAAAAATATGTGGTACTTTTTGGCTATCTGTGCTCGCATTATCTTGGCAATTATTCATTGACAATAAAACATCATCAGCGATATTTTGTGACCCTTATTACCTGATTTTATTTTGGCTACTTCCCCTTCCTGGAATCTGCAGTGCATCATATCTGAAAATAAATCTCCATTATGTCATCTTATCCTCCTACATTATGGATGGCTCTCAACCAGTCGCAGAGTTCAAGATTTAAACAAAGAAATCAAGTCTTTAAATTGCTGTTACCTACTGTGCAGCCTTTTTTTCTTTCTCTCTACTCTACTCACTGCTGCTTAGACGTGTTGCTTAGCCTCCACTAACTATTGCCCATTATTGTGGAAATATAAGCTGCATAAAACTATGAGATGCATAGCACACCCATAAATGATGCTGTGTGAATCTTGTAATGATATTAAAGCTTGCTCTATTATAAAAAAAAAAAAAAATTTTCTTGTGATCTACATCAACATCTGCCAATTTCTTCGACTATGCATTCCATCTGTACGCCAGCAACATCTATAACCATTGCGGCCATGACTAAAAGACTACTGGTGTCTTCTTTTCCATACATTATAAATTTATTACAGTTAACAGAGGTCATCTATAGAATTATCACATTTTAAATTAGTCAACAAAGATATATCTCAAATGCCTACCTGAAAGTTCAGTTCATCTGAGTAGAATAAGCCCTGTTTTAAAGTGCAGTTTATCTACAAAATTCAAATAAGTGTGTGAATTAAAAAGATTGATGCTTTGCTAGTACTACTACTTTTATTTTATTCCACATTGATATGAAACATAGCTCTTGATCTATTCAATATCCAGAAATGAAAGAAAAAAAAATTAATGCTTTGAAAATTAATTAAAAATTGTGTTTACAAAGTGTTTTTAGAAACACTCGAAATCATTTCAACTACATATTCCCAGTGGTTTCAAGGTCATTAATCTTTGTTAAAAAGTGCTTCAAGTTTGTGTGCAAGAAATTTATTTTTATTTTTGCTTTTCTTTATTTCATACCTCAAATGAAAACTCAAAATTATTCTCTCAGAATCAAGTTCATATTTCAATGGAATGAAATTCAAATAGTGCCATGGGCATTAAAGTTCACATCAAGTACTTTGTTTAAAGTTATTTTGATTTTGTTGTTTTGTTTCCTTAAAATGTTTTACATTTATAAACTTCGTGAGTATGCTTAGTTTCATTATTTTGCTAATAATGGATATTTATGTTTTTTCATTTCTCTGAAGTCAGTAATTTATTTATTCTTGTAGTTTTTAAATAAAACATGCAATGTTTTCTTTTTCTATACTGAACTTTAAAAAAAAAGTTGCAGTTTTCTATAAAAATAGCAGATAAATATTTTATGGTATTAGAAATTCAAATTTTAATTTTTGGTTTAACAAATTAAAGAACTTTAACGTCTTTAAATTATTTTATTTAGAGAAGGTTATTAAAAACTACTATATTAATAATTGTATTTTTGAATTACTGTTTATGAAACCATTAAATTATTTTAAGAATAAGCTAAACATAAAAAATTAATGAAGTAATTTTGGATATTAGTACAGAAAATGGATGTAAAATAGTGTTTTTGAGTACGTGGAAAATAATCAATATTTTGATAATGAATGTTCTAATGAATATAGAAATACTAAAAATTTAAGAAAATAAGTGAATGCATACAAAATCGAGTATGTTAAGATAAACTTTGAAGACTCCCACCTTATGAAAAAATACTAATTTTTTCATATATAATTTCATATACAGTCAAAAGTCTTTAATCCTGATGTCCATAATCTGGAATGATCTATAATCCGGACATCAAAGCTACGAACTTTCTGCGCATGCATGAACGCATAATGCATTTACGCATGCGCATATGCATTTACACATGCTCATAATATCTTTACGCATGTGCGTTTAATGTATAAAGGACGGTATAAGCTAAGCTAAAATTATCTAATTATCTATTTCAGTTAATGTTGCAGATTGCGTTCTTCCCTTAATTTTTCAAAGTTTGGATCCGGCTTATTATTTTTTGCAGACTGTTAGAGCAATTTTATAAAAAGTTAGCTTGAACTTTCGACTATGTCAAAAAGAGTTTCCAATTCTGAGTCTGGAGCTGCCAAAGGATCTACAAAGCGAAAGCACGTTTCGATGCCCATCAAACAAAAAGTGGAATTGTTTCAAAAAATTGATAAAGGCCTTTGTTTCTCTAACCATTCTGAAATCTGTTTATCAATTTCCCGCTGCTCTGCGGGAGGGGTGGACGTCGCAGCGCGCAAAGAACTGGAAGTTAATCTGTCAACACTATCCTTATCTTCAGGGCAGATGTTTTTATTTTATTCAGCTAATTCTTTACTAAATGTAGTATTTCATCTCGATGTACTCCGTCTTTGATATGATTTAAATCAAATTCGTCGTTATTATAAATATCACGAAGACACATCAAATAGTTTTCCGGTTGCAATTTTCTAATTTCGACTATGCGTAATGTATGCTTTACGCACGCACGCGTTGAAAGAAATGTTTAATAAAGTAAACAAATAAATATTAAGCTTTTTTTTGTGTAAATTTTGATACCCTTTAGATCATAATTGCTCTTTATTTCATAAATTACAGCTTCATATTTTTAATTTTATAATTTCTGCATGCCATCTTACTAGATTTAAACTGATGACCTATAATCCAGAAAAACCGATAATCCGGAATAAAAACTTTTGACTGTATAAGTGGTAATGATGTAAGCTTTATTTCAACAAGGTAAAATAAAGGTTCATAGTAGATGCTCAAAATTGCAGCCATTTACACGAATACAGGATTCACAGTGCTGCTGCATTAACCGCCGAATGTTTTCAAAGACACCGGCATATCACGAACAGTTTCTGCGGCGGCTACTATTCGTGCAATGAGGTCCATTACACTGTCGATGGGAGTCTTGTACACATGTTCTTTCATGGCCACCCACAAAAAGAAATGCATGGGCAATAAATCAGGTGACCTGGTTGGCCAAGCAGTGAGTGCACCTTTGCCGATCCATCGAGCATTGAATGTTTGGTTCAGGAAATCACGCACATTAATTATGCTA